AATTATTTATACTTAAAAATAATTTGTTATTTAAAACTTATTTTCTTCAAATATCAGTAGAGAATACTGACAATGTTTTGGAAGTTTTCAAAATATAAAAACATTGATTGATTGATTGATTGATTGATTGATTATGGGCATCAATTTTTTCCTACCTGGCCAGATTCATCTGCAACTACCTGACACATATCTTGAGAGAAGTGCTTATCTCTTCAAGGATTTCTATGGTTTAATGGGGTGATATGGGACTGTAACTTGAATAAGCCAAAGGTTTAGCAACCTTTTCCTGACCGTAGTGATTAATCCAAGTAGGGGACACATACCCAAACTGGGCTTGAGATCTTCCAAACATACTTTTTTTGATAAGAAGAGGGCTAGTTAAGTTAATGAGCCGTACTTAATCTAGTATTGTTAGAGGCTCTAGAAGAATTAAAGCAAAAGATTAAGGCTAGGAAAAAAAAAAAAAAAAAAAAAAAAAGATCAGCTTGCTGGAGTATTTTATTTAGAAGATCCTGAAACTAGTTCCAGTTCCAGTGTTTGCTTTCTTATGGTTGAGCTACCTAATAAATCCACATCCATGCACGTGCAAATGCTTTTCTCTCTTACTTTATTTTCGCTTATCTAGTTTGAGTAAGAATTTTTGTAGTTATAGGCAAAGTCAAAATATAGTTTTCATAATTGGCTTTAAAAACAAAAGAGGGGGAACAGTAACCCCCAGAAGGAGTCCCCCTGAAATACTCTCCATCATGCTTTGTTCACATTTAACTCTCTAAAACTGAAAGCTCATGGCAAATCTGCTGCTGACTGCCTCTGGTATCACCAAGACCAATGAAAACTATGCACAGCTATGTAGAAGGACCCTCTTACCCTTAAAGTGAATGGCCTAGACCCAGTTCCCTTATGGGGCTGAGGATTGATATGCCTGTTTGATACCACAGAAGGCACAGCTAACCGGCTACCAAAAAGATTAATGAAATAAATATATACCCCCACAAAGCCAGGCCCAACTATAAATAAGATGAATAACAATGGACATCCAGGGAAGATGAATCTCCCTGAGAATTCCCTTCTTTTTCCTTTCCAGGTAAAAATGAATCACCCATGATGTCTGCTGTTAGAAGTTCTAATCCAGGCCGGGCGGTGGTGGCGCACGCCTTTAATCCCAGCACTTGGGAGGCAGAGGCAGGTGGATTTCTGAGTTCGAGAGTTCGAGGCTAGCCTGGTCTACAGAGTGAGTTCCAGGACAGCCAGGGCTACACAGAGAAACCCTGTCTCGAAAAAACCAAAAAAAAACCAAAAAAAAAAAAAAAAAGAAGTTCTAATCCAGATGCTGGCGTCTGAACTTATACTACTTAGACCTTTGAAGGTCCACTGACAAGAACATCAAACAGCTAGAGACTGACATCACTAATCTGAAGAAATCCCTCATTTCCCTGTCTGAAGAGACCTCCAAAAATCGCAAAGATCCCTATTGGACTTGATTTACTCTATTACAATAGAAAAGGCTGTGTACAGCTCTTGACTGTGTTCAGCCCTTAAAGAAGAATGTTGCCTTTACATAAACAAGACAGAGATGGTTAAAGAGAACATGAAAAAGGTCAGAGAAGGCCCTGAGAAAGTAAGAGAGAGAGAGAGAGAAAGATGAGTGCTGGTACAAGAATTGGTTTTCAGACTCTCCATGGTTGTCAACCCTACTTCCTCCCATCTTAATTAATGGGGTTAATGACTCCATTAATGGAGTTATTTTTGCTTATTTCTTCTGGTCCCTGAGCCTCAAATAGGCTGACTAACTCTGTGAAACAACAGATAAATAATTTGGTAGCAAAACCTATTCAGATACATTATCATAAGTTAGCTATGGAGGACCATGAGACTCAAGATGAGGTTGTTACTTTATACAGGGTGTTCCCAAAACCCATCTCCACCCAACCTAAAAAGGGGACTTCTGCCCCTAGACCAAGCAGAGAGGGGCTACCCAGAACCCCCTCTGACTGGTGATCTGAATTCTTGCTTAGGCTGCGAGGCTCAGCACTGCAAGGGAATATAAATAAAAGTTAAACATATCTCTCTGGGTTCCCTGAGGGACAAGCCTGACTGCATAGGGGTTGATGTCAAAAGTATCCCCTTCTCCAGGAAAAAGACATCGGGACGGATATGGCCCTCATACCTCACTGGACAACGACAGGGGGACCGGAGCCATTACAAGGTTCCCTTCAATTACTGGAGGTCTGGCCTCTATCCCCACCTTTGGAAGATTAGAATTGCCACAGCCCTTCTATACTTAGAGAAGGGAGGAGATGTCAGGGGCAGCCCTGATTACACACTGAAGGCCTAAAATCAGCCATAGGCCTACAATCAGCAATAGGCCTGTCATACATGTCATACTAACACAAAGGCTTGGATCTCTGTGGAAAAACATTGGAACAGATGGCTATAAACTATTGTAAACAGGCAGCTTTTGTGGAAATTTACCAGCCTGAGTAGTCATAGACCTTGTAAATAGGTAGCCTGGGCAGATAATACCAACTTAGATAAGGACAAGTGAATCATAGGCAGAGTCATAGCGACCTGTCCCCTGAACCTTCACCCAGCTGATACCCTATTCTGAAAGATATCTGTATTCTCCCTGAACACCCACGCTCCAGGGTCATTCCCTTCCCCACATCCTGCCTTTTTGTGTTTATAACCTCTGTGTGAATGAGTAAAAATTACAATTTGATTTAAAAATAAATAAATAAAAAAGAAAACGCATTAAATCAAGCAATCATGTTATGTGAAAGAGAGGTAACTTTAGATAGGAATCTGAGAGAAAAAGTGAAAAATGTTAGAATGCAGTGTAAATCTTAAAGCATAAGATCTTAG